CTAGAAGCTCACGGAACCCAAGTCTTTGGTGAGGGTTACTCTGCTAGTAAGGGCTCTCAACCCCAGTCCTGACGGTCTCCAAAGCTATGTTCTTTCCTCCACCTACAGTTGGGAAGGGGGGGACCACCCTTCTCAAGTTTGAGCCCCATCTTCCTCTGCAGTAGACAATGGCTGGTGGAGAGGGCACTGCTTTTGTTCTAGCTTTGATTGCATATCGAAGTGTGAAACTTCAGGCAAGTTTCCGTTTGTCTTGGTTTCAGTTTCAACATCTGCAAACTGGACATACATACCCCAGACGAGCTGGTCCCACAGGAGTCATATGAAGACCCATGGGACAAAATTTACACGAAAGTAACTGGTCCCTAGCAAGGGACTGTAGGCTGGGGATGTGTGGGGAGAGAGGGGTCTTAGAAGACTCACTTGTTGTTAGGAGGTTTAGGCGGGTGCAGAATGCTAGTGGAATCTCAGTGACACATTTTCTCCAGTGGAGTCAGGCAAACACCCAGAGAGGTTGTCATCTCAGTTTAGGGAATACTGTAAATTAGTATTTTTTTCCACTTAGAATAATGGGGGACTCACACTCTTGCCTAAAGACCCACCTAGCTTTGGGCTGAAGGAGAGAGAACAGTGCAGCTCAGAGGACAAAGTATCAAAATTTTGACTAAAGACAGAATCAGTATTACTAATTTTTCCTTTTCCTTCAGTCTCCAATCTGACTTGGCATGGCACTTCTTTATTTAAAATTTTGATATTTTGTCCATCACAGTGATGGGGCAGAGAGCAGACCACTCCAAGATGTGCCACTCTGGCATGCAGATTATTTTGAGCTGAAAATTACCAAGGTTAGTCATCAGTTAGATCCATTAAACTTGTAAACTGCCTTCACTGATCAAGCTTGCTTTAATAGTTTTTACAAAAACTTTCATGTTCTCCAAGAGTCATGTAGCCTAAATGATAAGATGTTTGCCCTAACTGTTTTTCAGGCATTTGGAGTTAGCTATGTTCAGTTGGAGTTTGAGCCAGCTAAGACCTCTGGCCCTCCAACTGGGCATGCATGAGTGTCCTCTCGGTGACCTTTTAACATCAGAGGGTCTAAAACTCCACCCTGAGGACATGCATGCAGCCGTTTTCTGAATATGCATCCTATGAAGAAGCCTGTAGTTTAGTTGCAGTGTGCAGAATGATGATTATCTCACCTTTTTTTCTTATTTCCATTCACCTTTCCCCACATTCCCCATGCTTCAGAACACCCTGCTTTCTTACCCCATAAATAACCTGAGCCCCTCACCTTTGAGGAGGTGGATTTGAGATTTGTTCTCCTGTCTCTCCACTTGGCTGCCTCAAGAATAAACCTTTTCTCTGCTGCAGATCTTGGTGTCTCAGGAAGAACCTTGAACTTACCCCTTACTGCCTAAAAGATTTTAAGATAGGAGGCCTGTCCAGGAAGATGCTCTCACCATAGAAAACTATATAAAGTATTAGGAGTGGCAGACAGTGCTAGAACCTAGCAAAGCCCATTTGGTCAAAGTCCTGTGTCCCATTATCTTTTGATGGCCCAGTAAACATTTGTTTACCAAACATTAACTCTTTTTATCTTCCTGTGAGTTACCTTACTTCCCATTGAAACTTCAGACCCCTACCTCCTTCTCCTTAGTCCAGAATATATACACATCTCACCTTGCCTTGCTGTCTTTGAAATTCTTCATACTTATATGGATTCCTACTGTGCATGTAATAAATTTGATTTTCTCCTGTTAATCTGCCTTATCATTTTAATTGCTAGCCAAGAGAACTAAGAGGGGAAAGAAGGGAAACACTCCTTCACCAGTAATGGATTTTTCACATTAATTTTGATTTTTCTAAATATTGCACAAAAATATTATTTACCTTGATGGCTGAGTGTTTTGGTGCTCCCTTAAATTTTGTGCCATGATGAATGCCACACTGGGTTCACCCTAAGCCATGAAGATGTGGTACAGTGTCACAGCTGAGGTGGCATCAGTGTCGGTCACACATATACTCAGTTGGTAGCTTCCCCTTCTGGCTCCAATGTAGATCACTCTCCCCTCCAAGTGCTGCTATAGCTACACTCCACCCCACTCTACCCCACACCAATCTTTGTGAGAATTATAAAAAAAAAAATCTTCCTCAGGACATGTTTATTTTATTAAAAAAGTAATTGTAGTAATAAATACAGACATTTACAATATTTATATGTGAATCACACTCTATTCGATGTGGTGCCTCAGACAGGACACATCTGTGAAGGGGAGCAGAATTTGTCACCTCAAAAATATGTCTCTTTGGCATAAGGATTATTTTATGCTGATTACTTTTAAGAAACAACCGACATAGGAAGAGCTCTGAAAATGAGTAGAAGTTACCCTTTTGTAAGAGACATTTACATTTACAAGAGAAATCTCCACTTGCAAGGGTGTCTCCTTCTCTGTACCAGGAGGAGGGGGGGTGACTAAATCTCTAAAAACTCATCAACAGAGATGGCAGTGATTTAAAACTGCTTAACAATCATGTGGTACTGTGCTTTGCCTGATAACCTCCCATAACTGCCCCCACCTCCATCTTCTTTTGTCTGGAGATGGTGATGGAAGAGGCCATTTCAGGGAGGTTTATTCAGTTTTCCTGGGTATCTCACATGTATATAGGAGGAATACTTGCTATTAAACGTGTTTGTTTTTCTTCTGTTAATCTTTTTATTATGGAGTCTCAGCCAAGAACCCAGAAGGGCAGAGGAAAATTATTTTTTCTCATCTACATCTGCACGACTCCACGTGGAGGCCAGCTGGGCCCTCCTCCAGGTTCCTCAGAGCTGGGGGACTGCCTCCTACTCACAACATTTGTTTCCCCTCAAATCAGCCTCAGACTGTTCTTTTGGTCCCCTCCCTTTTAGTTTTTTTCTTGACAGCTTATTATCTCTTACATTGGCCATTTTATATCTGAAGGTTTTTTTTTTTTTTCGGTACGCGGGCCTCTCACTGTTGTGGCCTCTCCCGTTGCGGACGTGCAGGCTCAGCGGCCATGGCTCACGGGCCCAGCCACTCTGCGGCATGTGGGATCTTCCTGGAACGGGGCACGAACCCATGTCCCCTGCATCAGCATGCGGACTCTCAACCACTGCGCCACCAGGGAAGCCCTATTGGAAGTTTCTTTTTTCTAGATATTTCCTCTCTCTTTCTCTCTCTCCATCTCTCTCTCTCTCTCTCTCTCATGGTTTAAAACAATTTTTAAATTTCTTACTATTCTCTGGATTGCCTAGCTGGTTCTTCTGCTTCACGTGGTATTGGCTGAGATGTCAATAATGATGGAATATCCAAAATGGCTTCACTCTCGTGGCTGGCAGTTGGTGCTGGCTGTTGGCTGGAAGCTCAGCTTGGCTGTCAGCCAGTGGACTTGCTCTTCTCCCATGTGGGCCTTTCCACACAGAGCAGATATTTTCTCCTTTCACAAATTTTAACACACATTTCTTCACTATATTTCTAATAATTCATATATTTGGACCCACAAAATGGCAGCTGCCCCAGTGGTCCAGCCCACATCACGAATCTAAGCCTAAGTCAGCCTGCACTTATGGGAAACACCTGTCCAGGAACCTAACATCCACTAATCACAATCCTCCAACTCAGCTTTTCCTAGCTCACCTTACCCTAGAAACTAGAACTTATAGGGAAATCCCCACCTCTTAGCCAATCATGCCCTGTTTCTAAGTTGCCTCTTCTAAAACTCTATAAAACTCACTCTTGTCCAAAATCCCTCAGGAAGAGTGCTGCACTGCTTGTGAGGCACTGTACTCCCCAATGCAGAAGTTGTTTTCCCTTGAATAAAGGAAACACTTCACACCCCTAGACTTGAGACCTCAGATCCCTTTCCAACATTTCCATTCAAGATGTGTGTCCAGGAAGACATCCAAAGCAACCCTCTCCCTCCACATATTTCTCATTTCATTAAAAAGGTGAGCTCTATGGGGGCAGGGATCATGTCTGTCTTATTTGCTAGACTGACCTAACAGAGGTTCCTAATAAATATTCATTGAATGAATTAAACAACTTTAAATGTTTGCAAGTCTCCTATAAATAGATTCAAAGTATGTCTTCAGGGCAGTTCTTCCACTGAGATGGGCTCCTGTATAGGCCTAAGGCCTGGGTTTCTCCCTTACAGCACAAAAGTGTAAATGAAGCTGGGGCAGTGGTCAATCCCACTTCTGAGTTTCCACTCAGCCAAACTGAGTCTTCTACCTGGCTTCTCTGTCCTTGTGTTCTTTGACTCCCAAGTCCTATGGATCCACACCTGACCCCCTGGGTGTTGGGAATCAGTGGTCAGGCCTGATGCCACTGCCCACGAAAGTAATTCATGAAGGGTCAGTTTCAGGAGAACAGAGAGCACATCTGATGAAAATCACAGTAAGCTCAGCACAGTGCCAGGCACGTCGTTGATGAGTCAGTAAATAAATCCATTTCTGACTGCTGTCTTCTGCTTCTGTGGGGAACATCAGCTGGCTGTTCCGAAGTTCTTGCCCTCTTGGCAACCAATCCCTTGGTATATTCCTCATCTCCAAACCCTGGAATGGGAGCTGTCATTTAAATGTGTGAAACTACATTTACATTTCAACAGAGATGCTTCTAAGCCCTTGCTTTGAGTTGGCTGATAAATTCCCAATCACATTTCCAGGAGGGATTCTGGATTTGAAGAGATTTCCTAGCAGTGGGTAGGATTAAGAACTCTCTCTTTTTTTTTTTTTGGCCTCACCACACTGCTTGTGGGATTTTAGTTCCCCAACCAGGGATTGAACCCCGGCCCTCAGCAGTGAAAGCACAGAGTCCTAACCACTGGACCACCAGGAAATTCCCAGATTAGGAACTCTTAAGTCTGTAGGAGCCTAAGGGATACTTTATTCTGGAAGGAAGTCAGTGTCCTTCATTTTTCCTTGATGTTTTTGATTAAGTCAGTGAATTCTTTTGACCATTTTCTTTGGAGCACATGGCTGCTTAGTTGACATTCTCATGGGTAAATTTCCTTGGTGTGTCTGGCAACGTGGGCAGTGAGTGGGATTTCTCCACCTGCTGGGCAGACATAAGGATGCAGAACACTGAAGAGGAGCAGAACTATGGATCCCCCCAGGAGACCCCACCATCCCAGACACTCTTCATTGCCAAGGGTACTCAACCTAAACCTCTTGCTATGCTTTCTCCCACTGTTTAATCATTTTGACCTTAGAAAAACTATGCCTCAAGCCTAACCCACATGTATCTTGTTGAATGTTTAGTGAACTCAACTTTCCTTCTAATGATCTATCCAAACCAACCTTTCCTATTACTAGGTAAAGTGCTTTACCCATCCTTATTTTTCTGAAGTGGTTGCGAGAGGAGACAGGAAGCCATTCCTGGCTTCTGCCAAGTGTGATCTGTGAAGGAATAAGCTTTAAAAGCTTACTACGTTAGTAGCTTGACTGGGGAGAAGTTGCAAATCACATGTAACATAGCTAGACCATGGAAAAGAAGAGGAACACTCTCCTGCCTCCAGTTTACTAGTGGCTCAGAAACAAGCCAGAGTTGTCTCCCCAGCCATCCCTTTCTCCCAGGCACAGCCTAAGCCATGGAACTTTTCCCAGGCCCTCAGTCAGGATCCTGCTGATTTTCCCTATTGATCTCACCTGGAACCTCTCTCCTACTCTGTTTGTTCCACATTACCCCCATTTTCACTCCTAAAACATAATTCTCTTCTATTCCCCACATACTTGTGTAACCTTAAGCCAAGGGAATGGGTATCCTGGTGTACCTTTTAGTACCAGGGAAAATGAGATCTCTGGGGCCCAAGAAATTCTAGCTAAACTTGAAACAGGAAGAAGGATGGGACAGCTAAGATAAAACTCAGCTCTAAAGCTTCTTACCTTTGGGGGTATTTGCACAGTGGAATAAAGTGTATTTACTGCATTTTCCTGTGGTACAGTGCTCTGTTAAAAAACAAAAAACAAACAAACAAAATCATCACCAACCCTCTGGGTCACATAGACAAGGCCAAAGAGACATCCAGAATCCAGAGAAGGGAAAACAGAGGTGGGAGGAGATGGTGAGAGAGAAGAGAGGGTTCTGGAGCCTGAATGGGGGAGTGGGAAGTGCTCTTGTCAGTGACTGCTATCGTAATTATTAATGACTTTTTTCAAGAAGCAATTGTGGGTTTCCCTTGTAGCACAGTGGTTAAGAATCCACCTACCAATGCAGGGGACACGGGTTCGAGCCCTGGTCTGGGAAGATCCCACATGCCACGGAGCAACTAAGCCCGTGCACCAAAACTACTGAGCCTGTGCTCTAGATCCTGCAAGCTGCAACTACTGAAGCCCATGTGCCTAGAACCCATGCTCCGCAACAAGTGACGCCACTGCAACGAGAAGACTGTGAACCGCAACGAAGAGTAGCCCCTGCTCACCACAACTAGAGAAAGCCCGTGCACAGCAAAAAGGACCCAATGCAGCCAAAAATAAATAAAATTTTAAAAAGAAGAAATTGCATTATTTTAAAACTGTATCTTGTTTAAACTGTATCTTGTTTAAATTACTTAATAAAAAATTACTTAATAAATATGTAAGATATATAAGTCCCATGAGCTATGAGCCTCCTAAGGTGATTAAAGGATAATTTGAAATCATATTGTCAATGTTGGAAATAAACTTTTCCATCAGTCAAAAGAGCTTATGGGGCAAATCAGAAATGATGACTAAAGGGACAAAACAAAACAAAACAAAACAATGACAGCAATAACAAAAGCTCCTTCCAGGCTGGAGAAAAATATCCTGGGTCAGTGAAGTTTATTCCTGAACATCTAGGACAGTCTTGTGGTCTCCAGGGAATGTGTCTTGAGCAGGGGAAGAGGGAGGATGGTGATAAAGTGATCGATTTTGACAGAAGCCGGGCTGAGTGAAGCACAAAGAGGTCACCCCTGTGAGGAAGGAAGGAGCTCTCAGGACACCAACAGCTTCAAAGAGAAAACATAATATCTCCTCTTGGAAAAGTTGTGGATAAGTGTAAGAAGATGTATCCTGATCAGGAGACACTGAAGGCTGGAGTAAAACTAAGATTTTTGAAGCTCCAAAGTGCTTTTATTTCTTCATTAAGTGGGCCAATGTGGAAAGGGCATTATGACCCCCTAAGGAGCAAGCCTAGCCTCAGCTACAATGATTTTTGCCAGTGGACCTTTTGAAGCTGTCTACCTAGTTCATGTCTACAAATTGTCTCTTGTTATTTGCATTTCTTTAAACCTTAGTCTTAGGATTTTCTTTTCAAAGAGTTTTCTTTGAATTAACCTTGTGTTTGTTCACTGCAGCTTGGCGACCCACACTTGGGAAGCCTTGAGTGAGGGCCCAGAGCCACCATGGACACTCTGAGCCCCCTCCTGATGCTTCCTTGAGTTGCCTCAGAGGAAATGGCATCTCTAAAGCCAGTTTTCTGATACCATAACTCAAACATCATATCAAAGTCACATTTCTCTACCCGCCATCATATGCAAAAGGAATTGGGTCTGTTGAGTGGCCATTTTGAACAGTGGAGGGGAAGGAGTGATTCCATAGATCACAGTGTGAGCGTTACTGGCTAGGTCAGAACCAGATGCTCCAGGGGCCACCAGTTCCTGCACAAGAGAGAATCCATGAAGACTTGGGGGAGACACAGGTACATTGGGTTTAAAGGGTTATACATTTTCATTCCCCATGTTGCCCAAATCCATGGAAAAATCTCAAGTAAAACAAGGAGGGCCTCAGAGAGGAGAATCAGGCCCCAGGAAAGACGGGAAAGAACTCACATTTAAGTAAGAGATTGTGTCATACTCCGAGGTCTCTCCAAAAGCGGGGGAGTAGTTAAGAGTTTCTGGATGAAGGTTCAGTCCCTTCTTCTCTTCAATGGACTCTGAAACTAAGTTGGGAGAGAATCAGAGCTGGCTCCTCCTTCCCCTTGCCACCCCCATTGGCCCACCATCTGGATGACCCACTTAGGGTGACCAACCATCCTGATTTCCCTGTAACTGAAGGGTTTTCCAGGACATGAGACTTTCAGTGCTAAACCCAGGAACTCCAAGATGAACTGGTCACCCTCATCACTTCACTTCCTAATTTCTGGACAAAGGCAGCCAAAAGAGGAAGCAGAGGAGATCAGAAATGCTTTTACAGTGTTTACAGGAGGGAGAGAATATCTCAAAGTCTGCAGTTCGTACCCAACCAACGCTTAGGTCCCTCCCCAATACCCTGAGTGGACAGTATCAGTGGGAACCCGAGAAGACAAATCAGCAGGGTTTAGGGACACAGAGCATGGGACACAGCCTGGAGAAAGACAGAGAAAGGCTTCTCCAGGAGTAATGTATCTAGACTGATGTGGGGAGTAGAGAGAAGTCTCTGGAGTTGATCCAATAGAGAGAACTGGGATGGATTGGGGGCTCTGACAGGGATGGGCTGAACGGACGGTGCTGGTTTGTGGACCTCAGAGTTGAAGGTCATGGCCTCCCAGTCAGGGGAGCAGAGTCAACAGTGTGTCACCTGTGTCAGCAGGAGGGATACACTAGTAAGTCCCTCTGAGGGGAAGGAGAAGGGCAGGCACTGGAGAAGGAACTAGGAGAACCTTGGTCTTAGGAGAGAAGTTAAGGGCTCAGGTATTCTCTCCACTCCAGAATTAAGGAGTACAGATGGCTGGTGCTGTCCTTTAGGACAGAGATGATGGCTTCTTCATATCTGCATCCTTAGTGCCTAACACCAAGCTTGGCACACAGTCCAACATACTGTTGAATGAGTGAAAGAGAAAATGCATGATTGAGGGTGAAGACAAAAATAGTTCATGCTCTACCTTTTCTTCTTTCTCTTCGTATGATCAAAATAATTAGCACCAGTGCAATGCAACAGAGCAGGGTGAGTGACAACAGGAGTTTGAGGATCACAGTGGTAGCCAGGCCACCAGCAGCACCTTTAAAGAGAGAATGGGTGGAGGCACAGGGCAGGGAGAAGAGTCAGCTAGGGAAAATGACCCAACTTTTGGAGCAATTGCAACCTTCCTCCCAGTCTGATGACTTCCCCAGGGCTTCCAGTTTTCACAAAGGGCTTGTTCCCATGGGGGACCAGGAGCTGAAGAAGATATACGTCCTAAGACCAGGGGCTCCTGGAGAAAGAGGAGAGACAGTCACCTTCACAGAGCTTCCAGGCAAAGATGGGGTTTGAGGAGTTGCTGCTGATGGGGTTTCTGGCCATGCAGATGAAGGTCATATCCCTTTTCTCCTGCCTCCAGGATATGGGGAGGGTGGAGCCACTATGGGACTCATTGGTCGCCTGTCCCAGGGACTTCCAGCTGTAAGTTACATCCTCTCCTCCCTGTTCCATGGAACATGTCAGATTGGTTACACATGTGCCATTCTTATTGTTCTGCAGACCTATGATGACTTTGGGCTTTGACAGGTGCTCTGTAAAAGAGAAATAGACAACCAAGTGTGGAAACTATGCCCATAGCCCTCATTTTTTCTGCATTATTCTTGTAAACCTTGGACCTGAATCTCCCTGGTGTGCTACAGAGTGGAGAGGAAGCAGCAATTCAGAGCAGAATTCTCATTCTCATCTGGAGAAGAGAACTATCTAGGTCAGATTGCCCACAGCCATAAAACAACAACAATAGTAAGAGAAATAATTATAATGCAACAAGAATGAGCTTTCATTTACTAAGCACAGGCATATGGCAAGCACTGTGTTAAAAGCATTTTAGATGTTCATTAGTTTTATCTTTTTTGGAGACTCCCTATTCCCCTGTCCTCAGGCTTCCTTGAAGAGACTCACTTTACTCTCTAGGAGAGAACAAAGATATTGGAGCAACACTTCTGGCTCCCCTCTCTACCTTGTGCTCACTCTTTCAGAGGATGAGCAATTGTTTCATTGCTGAGTTGGTGAGTCTGACATCCCTCATCTACATTTCTCTATTTACATGTTTGGGCTGTTATGATTGTTGTTTAAATGTGGTTTGCCCTCCCCCCTCCCCCCAACCCTGCTAGTTTACCTGCAGAATGCATGTCTTCCATTCTTTTCAACTATATCTATATGGAGGACACACCTGGAACAAGGTGCATGGTCTACCTCCTACAAGCAAACCTGCAGGCCCATCTCCTGGTGTCGCTGATATTGCAGCTCAGTGAGAAAGGCAGCTATTCTTTTAGGTGGTTGAGTAATTGTTTCATAAGTTCATTTTCCCTGAATAGGTGCCAAAATCTAGACTTGGGGGAAAGTATTTTTATTATCCAGCTTTACCAGAAAAAATAAAGCTGATATTTTTATCTTCCTTCCTGATTCTTGTGTCTATTTCTCATTTGGTTAGAATCTTCACGGGAAGAGGTGTGATTGATAGTTATACCTGATAATCTTTCTAAGATAGGTATCACTTTACTCCCCATTACAGATGTGGAAACTAAGTTTCAAAGAGATCAAGTAACTTGTCTAAGGCCATGTAATTAGTAAGTAGAGAAGCCAACATTTGACCTGCATGATTGTCACTTCTCATAAAGCCTATCTGCTGTACCACAATCCTTCTTACTGAATATCTAAGAGGGGACTTCAAGGGTGGGCTATATCTACTTCATCCATGCACGAGTTCTCTCTTCCACTTTATTGCCACTTTATCCAGCCTTTGTCTGAACAGCTCCAATATCAGGGAGTTCACCATTTTAAGAAGGCAGTCATCCACATTTGGAACTGGTTCTGCTCACCATAGACACGCAGCTCATACTCCTGGGTGAGGGGATCCTGGAGGGTTGAGCTGTGTATCTCCACACGGTAGACACCTGAGTCATTCTTCTTCAGTTTGCTGAGATTCAGGGAGTAGCCTTCATGTGGGAAATTCACCCTTTCCTTGTTACGATGTTGGGTCACTATGATAAGGGCTTTTTTGTCTGCCAACTTTGGCTGTATGGTGACGAGAGTGGTTGTGTTGAAGACCCAGATAATGCTGTCAATTGGATCTACTGAGAGATTCAGTGGGAAATTCACAGACCCACCAAGGGCACCAACTAGCTTCTTCAGTACTCCAGAGGCTGCTGGCTCTGCAGAAACAGAGAACCATAAAATAAACCTGAGTACCTGACCTTACCACCAATTACTCACTCCCTTTGGGTCCTGGAAAGGTCCCAAGAAACCCTCTCAGTCTAACCCAACCAGTCCTGGGAAACCCTTTGGAACCTCACTCACACAAAGGCACTGAGGTCAGAAGTCTCTGCCTGAAAGGGGTGACTACAGGCAAACCCACCCCATTACCAGAGATCTCTGGCTGAAAAGACCAAGCTCTGAGGTAGACCATGAGGTCGGCTGCATCCTTGACAAGTTCCTGTGGGGTGACAAGTGGGGAGGTTACTGTCCAAGCTCCATTTAGGACTCCCAGATTGCTCCTGGGAGAGCTGATTTTGTTGCAGATGAAGAAGATAGCAGTTTATCTGACCTGGGGCAGAGGTTCTTAAGCACAAACCAGGGCACTGGGAGGCAAGCTGTAAGTCTTTAAAGATAGTGATAGCTTAGAAGTTTGAGGATGATTTATCTTTCTAATTTATGGTGGATGGGAGTGAATTCAAGCTCATCCCCAAATGAAGTTCTCATTCACTTGAATTCCAATATCCTTCCTTGAGTGGACAGGAAAAGGGTGAGTGACTGGGAGCTCTGGAATATGCCCAGGCTACCTTGTGATGTTTAACCTGAACTATCAGGAATTGTAGTTGGGCTTTACTGCTCCCTGCCTCCCAAATTTCTGTTTCACTGCAATCTTAATTCACCTCAGAAAGCATGACTTACAAACAACCATCACTGATTTTGTGGCTTCAGGTGAAAAACAGTTAAGAATGGCTGCTGAAAAAGTTTCCAGAAGTGGTCAACTGAGCAGCAACCTAATAAATAGCCCATGGGCCAAACCTGGCCTGCCCCCTGTTTTTGAAAATAAAGTTTTATTGGAACACAGCCATGTTCTTTCCTTTGCACATTGTCTATGGCTGCTTTTCCACTACAAAGGCTGAGTTGGATAGTTGTGACAGAGATCATACTGCCTGAAAAGCTTAAAATTTTACTATTTGGCCCTTTACAGCAAAAGTTTGTTAATTGGATTTGATTAAAAAAACAAAAACAAACCTGAGATTCAAAAAAACCTAAGTAACATTTCCAAGGGCACAAAGCTAGTAGGTGATAATTTGAGGATTTAACCCAATGTCACTCCAGCCCTGGAGCCTGGACTCTTTCCAGTATGGCTCAGTTTGAAGGTCCCTTGGCATTTGTACCAGGTCCAGCCCTTTCCATTAGTTCCCTTCTTCAGTTCCCTCAAGGGCTCAGGTGTCAACTCTGAAGCCCTGGGGTCTCATGGAATCCAGATTTACCATTCAAGTCCTTTGGTGACCTTCCTTCAAGTACAAGCTGCTCTACCAGTGCCCCCAGAGTAAGGGAATCTGCTGCTACCAAATGTTGACCTAGCCCCTTGATAACAGGTCTTGGATCTTGACCAAATTTTTTGCTAAATTTATCTATAAAAGTACTTGTTTCTCTTCCTGAGTAAATGCCTTTTAAGACCTGATTCCTGTTTTCAAACAATTTCCCCCTATAATTTATATATATGCATATATACTTTGGATCACTCAAGCCTTTATCAAATCATCCTGTTAAGTAAGCTGATTTTCCAAAAAGCTGCCCTCCCTGCTTCTCTAATACTAAGGGAGGATGGTTTTTCATTACTCTCTCTTTGATCATCTCATGGGGTGTCAAAATATTTCCAGTCTATAATGTTATAGACAAAACCAATTTTATTTGAATTTTTGATTTATCAATTAATGTATTCATTCTCTTACTTCAACCATGAGATGGAAGTGGTGAATATTTTGCAGTCAAATAAAGATTGGATATCACTTGCCCCCAAGTAGGTGCAGTTCTTGGATTAGGGCACCTTTGAGTATTTTAATTTTCATGTGAGGTTTGGGGGACATGTATATGTCAAGGAGGTGACAAAATTATAAGGATGTGGCTTTAGTGTTTTAGCATGTGTGCATGCACTTAAGCCATGAATAATTAGTTCTTTTTTTTTTTTTTTTTTGCGGTATGCAGGCCTCTCACTGTTGTGGCCTCTCCCCTTGTGGAGCACAGGCTCCGGACGCGCAGGCTCAGCGGCCACGGCTCACGGGCCCAGCCGCTCCGCGGCATGTGGGATCTTCCCAGACCGGGCCAAGAACCTGTGTCCCCTGCATCGGCAGGCAGACTCTCAACCACTGCGCCACCAGGGAAGCCTAGTTCTTCTTTTTACATCTTTATATACATGATGCTATCTTCCTAGGGTACATTTTAAGAAATGTTAATTGTGTGGAGATATAAGAAAATATCTCCAAATTCATTGTTCCTTGTTAGAATGAAATTGGAGGACAATACAGTGCAAATTGCCAACATGAACCTAGGTGGAAGATATTGTTCTATCTTTATTGTATCTTCAGGGTGAGGAGAAGAGTCATAAAAGAAGAAAGTAGTTCCATGCCATTCCCTAAATGTGAGCTCAGACGTTACGGGCCTGGGTTGGTTAAGTCCTAACCAGTTTTGTTTCCTCTTCCCAGTTGACTGTGAAAGGGGGTCCAGAAACAAGACACTTCTCTTCTCAGCTTCTAAGACTGAACTGAAGCTCCCCTTTCTCTGATGGCTTCTCCACCTGTGGTGTGTGACCCTATAGGGTTTTACCATGTCTAGGTAAGTCATGCTCTGCTCATTCAGTCATTCCTTCCTTTAACTAAAATTTGTTTAGTTCCATACTTGTGCCTGGCACTGTTTAGGAGCTGAGGGTATAACTGGGGAGCAAGATAGTCATGATCCTTGCACTCATGGAGCTGGGAGAGAGTCATTAAATGAGTAACAACATATGCTGTGAAAGGGGAAATGACAGTACTTAGGGAACACATGACAGGGGTGGGGGATGTAACATGACCTGTGTGATCAGAAGGCCCTAGAGAATGAGTAGCTACTAACACCTATGTACAAGGCCAGGGAGGATTGGGCCCCATGAGACTCATCTACCCTCCCACGTGGATCAGTGTGGTGAATGTTGTAACTTGCCTCCTCTGCATTCATTTCAGTCCTTCCTCATTTTGTAACAGCCATATGGTTTGGGTAACTCAACTCAAGTGGTAGACTTCCTCTGCACAGTAATTAGTTCAGGGGTATCACATGTCCCATGTTGATTGTATCTGAGAGAAGCCCAGGGATTTTGTTCCTAGGCCAGCAAAAGTTGATGCTGTGGGAAGATATGAAGCCTTGGACTGCCACCCACTTACTACCACCAGACAAGCAGCCAGGGTTCCTTCCTCAGCTTATCCCCAGTTTACATCCTAACTCACACTTTTATTGGTGCTTTATCCTTTTCTCTGTCCATCTAAGTCTTATTTAAGACCCATAAATCCTAGTTCAAAGCCCTTCCCTGAGGAAGTCTTCAACACTTTGTCACACCTACCCCCTGAAATTCCACCATGAATGTCACTTCATTTTCCACTTGAAATTCCCCATGAGGAGCTATTCCCATGGGTGGTGACTGGACATACCATTTTGCTCTGAGTTAGTGGATCACTGATCTACAGGCATTAGGTTCCAGATCACCTGATGATGGGGTCTGGAGTCTCATTCAGGGACCTGTGGAGATGGCCTCTTCTCCCAGGCAACATGCAGCAGTGTAAAAATGTTAGAGGTCTGGCCTAAATGGGGGTCAGGAGACCTGGGTTCCATTCTGGTTCCTCTGTAATAATAACTCCAGCAATGAATACTTGGTTTAATGTGTATTCCCGTTCTTGATCCTCAAGTCAACTCTATGTGATAAAGTTTAAGCTGTACTTTATAGATGAAGACATTGGGGGTCCAAGATGCTCAGTGACTTTCCCAAGGCCCCAAACTGGAAAGTGGCAGAAGTGACATGAGAAGCTAGTTCGTTCCCCCATCTCCTCTAGAGGCCTGAATTCTTTCCACTTCTACCTCCCACTACCACTTTGAATTTCAGCTTATCCCCAGTTTACGTCCTAAACGTAAATTTGAATTTCAGTGTTCTTACCTCTCATAGGAGAAAAAGAATAACCTTTATTCACCAGGATTTAGGGAAGGATGAAGGGTGAATACAGATGTGAAAATACTTTGAGAAGTACAGAGCAGTCTGAGACATGGTGGGAGGCAAGAGGGTACTACAGGCAGTAGTGCTATGAGACAGGCTTTGAGAAAGCTTCCCACTTTTTGGTCTCATTTCTGCAAGAATGACTAAAAGTGAGATTTCCCAAAACTTCTTTGGATGGCTTCTCAGTAAGGTAAGCTTCTTAGAAGGTGGTCTGGACCCTAACGCCTATACATCAGTCACTGGCTAATTCACAGCAAAAGAGTAAGTCCAATCACACACAGGGAGATAATTCCTACAGCAAGCATCCTCACCAACCTACTTTTGGAGGTTGAGGAAGCTGGGGAAGGAGACCCTCTGCTTTCTGCCCTGGCCAAGTCTCAGGTATTTTTGGCACCAGGAGATTCAGCCCTAAGATGCTCTTCATAACAAGAACGGACAACAGCTTCTCCCTTTTGCCACCTGCCTTTCCTTTTGGCTGTCACCTCCTCCCCTTAACCTGTTCCCCCAAGGCTCATGTGTTGAGTGGAGGGAAGGAGCCAAATTAGGAGGAAGGGGCACCATCAGTACAGCCAGAATCAAGGAATGGTGACCTAGGAGGAAGACCTCGGCATAGCGGAGTGTGTAAAGCCCACCTCCTGCTTGCCAGCCCAGTCCCCAAGCACCTCTTCCAGTACTGGGTGCCTCTATCAGAATGCACCAGCGTGTCATGCCACCCTCACCATGGAAACCAAGGACCAGAGCATCTCAAAGCTAGGAGGAACTTTAGGGACTACTTAGTCCAATCCCATTTTATAGATGAAGAGTCTGGTGCTCTGAAGGTTATAGTGATGTGTGCCAAGTGAGTAGAAGGCCAGGATTAGTAACAAGGGCTCCTAAGGCAGGGTTTCCCAAGCTGTGCCCCTGCTACCTTTGAGGTCTGTGGCAGTGCCTCAGTGTATTTCTTGGGAGCTTTGATGGAGGTCAAGGGGGTAGGGGATGGGTGGAGGCTATGGAACTCCCCCCCTCCATCAGGGAGGCTTCAATTCTCTGCATCAGAGTTGTTTGTTTCTGTGTAAGTTTTCTTTTTATAAAAGGAAACCACTGCTTAAAAAAGAAAAAAATGACTTTGGAAACTACTGTTCTTTACCCAAATTACCCTTAATTAATGTACTTGGAAAGGGCATTTACAATCAGTACCATGTAAGATGCACATGGAACAGAGGCTGACAAGCCTCCCAATTCACCAGCCACCTTTGCCAACACTCCAGTTCTAACCTGCAGCATTCATATTCAAGTTCCCTACTGTTCTTCCCCTCACTCATCTCTGAAACATTCCTCTTGTTTGTCTCTTCTGGTCTTTTTCAACACCTCTCCAATACCTCCTCACCCACTTTTTCTGATTTCCTTTTATAAACTTTCTCCTCAACTCTACTGTATCTTATAATCATCATAAAATTGTGCCCATTTTCCAGATGAGAATACTGAGGCTGCAAAAGTTTTTCCTTGGTAACCTCTGAATTTGGCCAGGGTGATTTTTGTTTGGTGCATTCAAATCCTGGAAATGGAGTTCCCTACTCTTCTTGGGCATTTCCAGTGCCTACCTTGGCCTCATGTACCTGGAGAGGGAAGGAATCTCTGGGGAAGATTCATCTCAAATACACATTCATTGAGCACTTTTTCTGAGGGTACAATATTAGGCCGTTAGTTTGGTGTGATGAAATGAGCACTAGCTTTGGAAACTCAGTTTCTGTTCTACCTTTTAATAGCTGTGTAATCTTGCCTAAGCCACTTGACGTCTCAGAGCCTAAGTTTTGGGGATAATAATATCTATCTTGTAGATTTGTGAGGAGATTGTATGAAAAATGCCTTAGATGTAATAGGAGCTTAATAAATGGTGATTATTATTATATTGTTTTGCATTTGATATCTTATTTAAAACATCACAATAATTTGCAAATTAAGTTTCATTTTCTGTTACATACTTGTAAAGACCGAGGTTCAGAGGCTAAGAAACTTATCCACAATAATATAGCTACTAAGTCAAGCCCAGGAGTTCTTCTCCAGGGCCAGCACTGCTTTCATAGTCCTGCCCACTGGAGGCTCTATGACAATCTCAGATTATTCTTTCAATCACGGAAGGTATAGCACGCAGGCTGCCACAGCCTCCTGGAACAGGGCGCACACTTGCAACTTGCACCCTGCTGCCCCAGGTCATGTTTCAGGGGGGCACCTGGGTTTTGAAAAGTTCTGCCATGTCCTCCCCCATTTCACTATCCCCAAGTTCTCCTTCTGATCACCATTTCCGTTCAAGGAGTCGTTTTTAAAGTAAGGGTCAGTTCCAGGACCAGGTGCTTCCTAAAAATGCAAACTTTTAACGAACTCACAAAGGGTGTGAGTTTGTTGATGCTGAACAGTTCAAGACACCAGGTGGCGGGGAGGAGAGGATTGCGAGGCCTGACTTACCATGTGGGCTTGGGCAGTTCTCTTCTGGCAGGTCTGGGGCACACATAAATGAACCAGCCACACCAAATCCTCAGAGGGAGACCTCATGGTGGTTCTCCATGAGTTTGATGACCAGAGAGATATTCCTAACTTATGGGGTTCCTGGTCCTTCCTGAGAGCCCTGAAGATAGTAACATCTTGAAAGACTAGAATACCTGTGACAGGCATAGAAAAGTCCTCAGTCCTTCATGGCATTAAATATAAAGTGCCTACCTATGAGTTGGTTTTCTAAGTAGAGACTGATTGTGTTACTTGGGTTAAGAGAGAAAATTCAAATGTTCTCTGCCATCAGTATGATTGTTAAATGCATAATAATTTAAAATATTTTTCTAAATAATACATGTTTATATTTACATAAATATAAACCATAGAAGTATATGTATAAATGTTATAAATATATTTGAATTAAAATATTTTAAATATATATTTCTAAGTAAATAAATATACACCTATACCATCTCATTTTGTTCTTAAAATTACCCTCAAAATGAAGGAGGGCTGAGGAAGATAACATCTGAGGAAGATGACATTCTTCATCTATTTCATGGCAGAATCCAGATAAGGACACAGGTTTTTCTGATACCCAACACCACTTCTTTCAGCCCTTTGTTCCCTGGGACAGTCAGAAAGGCAGTCAATTCCCAAAGTCATTCCTTCTCCTCTCCCTCCAGTCTCTTCCTACCCTCTGTGAGTCAGAGACTACAGGATATAAAAGCTTTTGCACAACAAAGGAAACCATAAACAAGACCAAAATACAATCCTCAGAATGGGAGAAAATATTTGCAAATGAAGCAACTGACAAAGGATTAATCTCCAAAATTTACAAGCAGCTCATGCAGCTCAATAACCAAAAAACAAACAACCCAATCTAAAAATGGGCAGAAGACCTAAATAGACATTTCTCCAAAGCAGACATACAGATTGCCAACAAACACATGAAAGAATTCTCAACATCATTAATCATTAGAGAAACGCAAATCAAAACTACAATGAGATATCACCTCACACCAGTCAGAATGGCCATCATCAAAAAATCTACAAACAACAAATGCTGGAGAGGGTGTGGAGAAAAGGGAACACTCTTGCACTGTTAGTGGGAATGTAAATTGATACAGCCACTATGGAGAACAGTATGGAGGTTCCTTAAAAAACTACAAATAGAACTACCATATGACCCAGCAATCCCGCTACTGGGCATATATCCTGAGAAAACCATAATTCAAAAAGAGTAATGTACCAAAATGTTCATTGCAGCTCTATTTACAATAGCCAAGAGATGGAAACAACGTAAGTGTCCATCAACAGATGAATGGATAAAGAAGATGTGGCACATATATACAATGGAATATTACTCAGCCATAAAGAGAAACAAAACTGAGTTATCTGTAGTGAGGTGGATGGACCTAGAGTCTGTCATACAGAGTGAAGTAAGTCAGAAAGAGAAAAACAAATACTGTATGCTAACACATATATACAGAATCTAAGAAGAAAAAAAAAAAGGTCATGAAGAACCTAGGGGTAAGATGGGAATAAAGACACAGACCTACTAGAGAATGGACTTGAAGATATGGGGAGGGGGAAGGGTAAGCTGTGACAAAGTGAGAAAGAGGCATGGACATATATACACTACCAAACGTAAAATAGATAGCTAGTGGGAAGCAGCCGCATAGCGCAGGGAGATCAGCTCGGTGCTTTGTGACCACCTAGAGGGGTGGGATAGGGAGGGTGGGAGGGAGGAAGATGCAAGAGGGAAGAGATATGGGAACATATGTATATGTATAACTGATTCACTTTGTTATAAAGCAGAAACTAACACACCATTGTAAAGCAATTATACTCCAATAAAGATGTTTAAAAAAAAAAAAAAGCAATATTAGATGAGGGAGCAGAGCCTCCTAAGTTGAGCCAGAGGCCCAGAGTGGAGCCAGGAGCCTGGAGCTACACACAGGATGGGGTAGGAAGTCAGGAAAACAGGAAGATCTTGCTGGACTCACCTGTGAGCTGGCAGAGGAGAAAGATCAAGGTGAAGTATGCTGTGGAAGTAAGCATATTGCTCTTTGGATGTCAGTCACTAAAATGAACCCACTTCCCTCTTGTAGTCACCTTCTTATATCTCTTCCCCTGCTGGGATTTTAAGTAGGTGGGGTCATGAGATTGAGAGTGAGTCATCTCAATTTTCTCCATATGGCCAGCATTTTCTGTTACACCATGTGACATTTCAGAGATTCACAATAGAGAACATGGAAGGAAATATAAGGTTATACAGAGAAAAAAGGGTGGCACTGGGGATAATAATAATATCTTTTGAGCTTTGCTAAGTACCAGGAGTACCTGCATTCTTTTATTTATTCCTCATAACAACCCTGTGAGTGAAATACTACCATAATGCCTAGTTTACAGATGAGAAAATGAAGGCTTAAAGTGTAGTACAGCAAAATTAAGAAGTTCTTTTAATCAAAAGAAACCATTATAATAGTAAAAATGGAAGCCACGTAGGGGGAGAACATATTTGTAATACATTTATTCCACAAGAGCCTTATATCCATGATATATGGTTGTCCAATTGTTCCAGCACCATTTGTTGAAAAGACTGTCCTTTCTGTATTGAATTGCTTTTTATTTTAAAATTAATTTTTATTGGAGTATAGTTACTTTACAATGTTGTGTTAGTTCCTACTGTACAGCAAAATGAATTAGCTATACATATACATATATTCCCTCTTTTTTGGATTTCCTTCCCATTTAGGTTACCACAGTGCATTAAGTAAAGTTCCCTGTGCTATACAGTATGTTTTCATTAATTGTCTATTTTGAATTGCTTTTATACCTCTGTCAAAAAGCAGTTGATCATACTTGTGTGGGTATATTCTGAGCTACCTATTCTGTTCCATTGATTTATATAATGTAATTATTGATATATTATGACTTAAGTCTGCCATTTTACTGTTTGTTTTCTTCTTGTTTCTTCTGTTTTTTATTCCTTCGTTTTACTTTCCTGGCCATTCTGTAGGTTATTTGAATATTTTTTGAATAATTCCATTTTGATTTACTATAGTGTATCTTGGGTGTATCTCTTTGAATAGATTTTTTAATGGCTGCTCAAGGCATTACATTAAACATACATAACTTATGGTTTACTGATGTTGGCTTTTTACCAGTTCAACTAGCATGTAGAAACATTACCCTTATAAGATTCCTTTACCTTCACTCCTTAATAACTTAATTATATCCTCTCCACATATTGAAAACCATATCAGGAAATGTTATAATTTTTGCTTCAATTGTCAAATATAATTTAGAAAACTCAAGAGGAGGAGGATAGGGAATTCCCTGGTGGTCCAGTGATTAGGACTCTGTACTTTCACTTCCAGGGCCCGGGTTCAATCCCTAGTGGGGGAACTAAAATCCTGCAAGCCATCTGGTGCAGCCAATAAAAAGAAAGAAATGAGGAGAAGGATAGTCCATGATATTTAACCCATATTTTTACTCTTTCCATTGCTCTTTCTTTATTCCTGATGTTCCAAGTTTCCTTCTTTTTTCTTTCTTTTTCAAGATATTCCTTTAGCCATTCTTTTAGGGTAGGTCTGCTGGTGACAAATACTTTTAGTTTTCCTTCACAGTGAGGATGTCTTGATTTCACCTTTATTTCCTGGGCATAGAATTCTATTTTTTTCACAGATAAGATCTTTTATTTGTCACCATTAGAAGTCTGATTTTTAAACAGATTCTTGGACTGGTGGCTCATATCCATCAGTTCATTCAACTTTAGCACCTGCTGCATCCCCAGTAGCTTTTCCAGAACTACTACCTTCACTATGTAGCTCCATGAGTTTTCCCAATTCAAACTTGGGCTTCTTCAGCATTTTTACTTTGCTAACAAAGGCATCATGGAGTGGATAAATAGATTGGAAGGCCTTTTCTGTCTTTCCCAATGCTGCCTGGAATGAATTTATTTACCCTGTTTCAAGTCATTTGTCTACACCTCTTGGGTCATGATTTTCATCATTTTCTTGCGGATCTGGAGGACCTACTGGTGTTGGGCATAAGAGGTCTTCCGAATCTGATTGTTGCGTTTTTTAGTAAAACCCGTACAGAATAGATGAAGCAAATAACAATAGGTAGTCTTGACATCAGTGTGAGCTTCAATCATGGTCTGACATTTTTTGACCATGGAGCACATTTTATCATGGGTAAGATCCATGCCATGGAAATTAGTCAGGCAGTTTTTGCCCTGAACATCCTCAGTAATTAGCATGAATTTTCTAAATGCAACTTCATCATTCTACAGATCAGCAAGGCTCACTTCAAAAATATGACCCTTGAGGCCATCAGATGAGATTTTGGTTACTTGAGTTCTAGTGACTAGTGTTTTCCCAATATTTCTTATATTGAACATAGCTGGTGTTTTCACATCATACCAATCTTTCTTAGAAAATGGATCAACCACTTTCTTCTTGGCTCCTTTTTACCACCTTTTGTAAGACACTTGATCTTGCCGACCCTGGGTATAGAATTCTAGATTGACAGTTCTTTTCTTTCAACACTTGAAAAATGTTATGCTACTCCTCTTGCCCGCATTGGTTTCTGATGAGAAATCAGCAGTCATTTAAATTGTTTTCCCCTGTAGTTAATGTGTTGCTTCTCTCTGTTATGAAGATTTTTTTTTCTTTTTTGTTAGTTTTCAGCTGGTTGATTATAATATGTCTTGGTATGTATTTCTTTGAGTTTCTTTGGGGTTCATTCAGTTTCTTGAATCTGTAGATTTGTGCTTTTTGCCAAGTTTGGAGAAATTTCAATACTTTTTGAATAGTTTTTCTTTTTTTAGCCCGGCATTCTTATTTTTTCTCCTCTCATTCTGAGACTTTGATAACAAGAATGTTAGATCTTCTATTATTGCCCCCATAGAGCTCTGAGTCTCTGTTAATTTTTTTCAGTCTATTTTCTTTCTGTTGTTCAGTTTGGGCATTTTCTGTCTTCAAGTACACTGATTCTTCCCTTTATAAACTCCGTTTTGCTATTAAGCCCATCAAGTGACTTTTAAATTTCATTTACTGCATTATTCACTTCTAAAACTTCCCTTTGTTTCTTCTTCATATATTCTGTTCTTTTGCTGAGACTTCCTAGTGGTTTTGTCTTTTTTTTTTCATTTCCAGGGTTTTATAATTACTTGTTGAAGCATTTTTATGATGGCTGCTTTAAAATCCTTGTCAGATAATTCAAACATCTGTCATCTTGGTTTTGGTGCCTGTTGATTGCCTTTTCTTCATTCAAGTTGATACTTTCCTGGTTTTTGGTATGATGAGTGATTTTTGACACTGTGGTGGTGGGGTAGGTGATGTTATTACCACTGCATGGTTGAGAAAATCCAAATTTTCCCTTGTCCTTGCTCAATAACACCTCAAGCAAGAGAGGGAAGTAGTGCCTCATTACTTCAGGGTGGGAATGGAAGTTCAGTCTTCCCACTCAGCCTCTTCTGATGTCACTTCAATTGGGAAGAGGAGGGATTCCTCCTTACTGCCAAGAGAGATGGAGGTCTAGGCCTTCCTCTTGGCCTTGCTGATGGTGTGGGGTCCCACATTTTTCCAATGGCATTTGGCCAGAATAAGGTGATTATTGCCTAAAGGCTTCTGTCTTGCTAGGCCATCTCTTTCCACATCCTTTGCCAAGAGAGAGAAGAGTTCTGTTGGGATTGGCATTTCTGGGCTACAGACTTGTTTAACACACAGCCCAAGGTATATACATGACAAAAAGGAAACCCAGGGGACTAACCATCATGTCATTCCTTGGATCTTGAGGTCCCTAACCAATACTTCTTCTCTCCACCTTTTAGAATCTTCTTGTGTTTGTGTTTTATATATAATGTCCAGGATTCTTGGAAAACTAGAGAAAAATGTGCCCACTTCATCTTCTCTGGAATGAGTAGTCTGATCATGTGTTTTTATAGCCTTTCTAATCTATCTATCTATCTATCTATCTATCTTTCTCTCATTGAAATAATGGTGTGATCTTTAAAAATAACTTCTTGTTAATTGGTAAAATCTCAGAAGATTTAATAAAAACTTGGTAAAATTCAGTACTCACTCATAATTGCAAAAATTTGTAGAAAACTACAGCAAACATCATATTTAGGTAGTGAGCCTTTAGAAGCAATACTATCAAAGTCAGGAATATGGCAAGAATTTCTCCAGTTACTGCTACTCTTTATTAATTAACTGGTGTCTTGGCCAAAGCAATGAAACAAGAAAAATAAAAATGTATGTGGATTAGAAAAGGAGACACAAATTATCATATTTTTAGATCACATTATTGCTGATGTAGAATATCCAAAGGAATCTGCAGGCAAATTATGAGAGCTAATAAAGGAGTGAACAGGACTCCAGCAAACAACCATATCGTATACAAAATATTTTTCTAACTTGGCTCACAGGTTAACACTTGTTTACTAATCTTGACATAGTTCAAGATTATCTCCTAGTAAGTCCTCAGTAAATATTAGCTATTATTTTAATTATAATTCATTTAAAATAGCTTCTAGTCAGTTATAAAAAGCCAGGCCTTGAGCTGTAAGCATAAACAAATGAAGTCCCAGTCTTCTTTTTTTTTTTTTTAAAGTCTTTATTGAATTTGTTACAATATTGCTTCTGTTTTTATGTTTTAGTTTTTTGGCCGGGAGGCATATGGAATCTTAGCTCCCTGACCAGGGATCAAACCCGCACCCCCTGCATTGGAAGACAAAGTCTTAACTGCTGGACCATCAGGGAAGTCCCCTAGTCCCAGTCTTTATGTGAGGAATGCTGGTGAGCCATATGCCTGCTGTGCATCTGCACTTGCCCTCTGCCCTCTGCGTTGATATTCCAGCTCCCTGCCCACTGCAGAAAAGCCACCTGACCCATCCAGGTAGGCCACAGCACTCCTAACTGATACCTCATCTCTGATTCCCTGACTCTTTGCTGCTATCTGCTGGCACAGATATGTGTGCCATGTGCCAGGCTTAGGTAAGAGGGATGGGGGAGGTAGGTGGGAGATGGAGGGTGTGTGTAAGTTGACAA